ATATATATATATATATATATATGCATCATGGTTTAATAAATATCAAAAGTACTATTTTTACAAGTTTTATTTTTCTGGAGCTATTTTATTCTTTTAATAATTTCTCTCTTTATTTTCGTTCCTCCCTGTTAAAAACTTAATGTTGTATTAAAAAGTACTACTAACTGTCTTGATATAAGAGATATGAACAGAAATAATTTTGCTTTATAATATACTTACATTCTCCATCTTAGCTTGGTTGTTGTTGTCCAACATCAGCCCGAAGTGAATGTGGGGAAAATGTGCCCACTAAAAAAGAAATAATTTGCAGTTATTATATTTATCAAGAGGATATGTATATAAATAAGGTAAATTAATTAATATTTGCAGTTAGTAATAAATTTTTATTTGGTCCTTACGTTCTTTGCAGCTGTACTGAAAGCTTCTCTGTGACTGATATCGGGATTATTGGCTTTGATCCTCTGAATCTCTTCCCTGCGTAAGAACAAAGACGTTTCAAAGCTGCTTTATGATACCAATTACATCAAATATATAGGCCATAAAATTGTTTGAAAGCATTAGTTACTTTATAAACTGATTATAAGCAGAAGGTACGCGCTGCCTCTTCTCGGGAGCTGGAAAAGAAAATAACAACTCGTGATCAGATCAATATTGTAGATAAAAATATGGATTATTCTATTTTTTTTAAATAAAAGCTAGCTATATATATGTGTGGTTAGGATGATTTTGAGATTGGATATTAAACGAGGAAAAGCCAAACATATACTCACGCCTGTTCACAACCCTTTCCTCAGTTACATGAGTGGTTGGTGGACGCATTGCAATCCTGTTGTTGTATTTGGACGTGGAGCCAGTGTCAATCTTGTACTCTGGATTCAAGAGTCCAGGTCCCTAAAAATGAAAATGTTAGCTAGGAGCATCAACACTTAGCCTTGCCCACATATGAATAAAGTGGACGTACCATGATGACTTAGATATATTGCTCAAGGTATACTGATCTTTACTTTTTTACTTATTCAATTAATAATCTTTTATTTTTACCTTCTTTTTTGTTTGAAAAAGACAAATTTATTTTAAACCATTAAATGTAATTAACATGTATGTATATCTAAATTTACAATAATTTTAGGATGTAAAAACAAAACTGGGACCAGGTGGTTTGCATGAAATAAAATAGGGTGAATAAATTGTCTGACTAGGTATCTGGCAGCAGCAAATGTGGATTCAGACGTGAAGAAATAATGATGCTTCTCATAGAGAGAAACGAAAGTACCTTTAATATGACTGAGCAATTGGACAGGAAATGCAACTAGATCGATGAATGAAGTACTTACAGATAACCCAGATTGACAGTTGTGGAAATGAAGGGCTTAGATTTAGGGATCTACAACAAGATGCCATTTTTTAAAAAATCCAGTAGAATTGAGTCATCTAAACCTCAGGGGTGTGCTTGCCTTGGAGAGGACAAGGATCTTGAAAAGAAATCATTAAACCTAGCTAAGAGCTAACGCACATACATATCAATCAAATCCACCCTCAAGGTTATGTAATCTCGAAAAGCCTTGAAGAGAGAGATAGAGTTTTTCAGTTGCCTTGATGGGTTAGGACAGGCCCTGACGCCTCTACTAAAAGTGCAAAAAGAAAAGGAATAGGTTTTGCTTATGGCGGCTGCAGGTAGCTAGGGCTTTAAGTACTCTTTCTCAGGTTGAAATAACAGACATGCTTAATTGCTTTGAAATACTCGATTTAGCACACAGAACCTACCAGAGAGAGAGCCTTCGATTTCTCAAAAGGAATAACTCCCACAAAAACCCTGCCCTAGGATCCAGAAATCAAAGACCTTATTTTATTTATTTAGTATTGCTGCACTTTTATATAGTTAGTTGTGAGTATTTAACTATTTATCATAATTAAGTACTAATTAGTTGAAAACGTGTATGTATATTATATTGCACCTCACCTGAACATCTTGCCAAGTTGACAGTGACTGAAACGCGGCAGCCATGTTCACGGACCATAGATTGGTGCAGTGTCCGCATCGAACGGTCACAATGTCAAACAGGCTGCTGCATGGAACACTCACCTGCGCACATAACTCAATATTGTTCACTCCTTGTTCCGCTATACATGCACAAAATTGATTAAAAACCCGAAAGAAAAAAAAAAACTAGATCACCTAATACTTTCATACTTGGAATGATTTTATTTGTAAAAGGAAAAATAAGAGGGGGAAGGGAGGTGATGATGATAATTTGAGAAGTGAGGTTTTGATAAAAAGGGTACAGCTTGGATTTACTTGAAAAAAGAAAGAAAACTTGTCAAATGTAAAGGTGCTACCATCCAGGGTTTCTTCCTTATGTGTTAGAACTGGGAATCCTCACTAGATTTACTTTTTAGTTTTTCCTATTCAGCTAAAAAGCAACAACACCTGGATGTGTAGTGTGCAGTGTAGTTGAGTTTTAGCATATGGTAGAGGTAAATTAGGTCACAGCTTAGGGATAGAAAATCAAAGAGTGAAGAGGACTTGTCCTATCAACAGTTTTATCATATAGTGTCCATTTTGGCGTTTTCAAGAGGACACCTTCATATTTATCAAAAACAGCTAGCAAGCCAGCACAGTGGGCACAATTAGCCTCACCCTCACTTGCTAGAACCAGAAAGGGAAAACACCGTGTTTGTGTGTGTGACCCTCTTGAGGTCCTTCAGGGTATGACTTTTCTTTGACTGCAAAAGAAGAAGAAAAAAAGGAAAAAAGAAAAGTCCGGGGATGGAGACATGACTGTAACAAAAACTAGAAACCCAGAAAGAGGGAATTAAAATAGCACACCCACTGGTTCACAAAAGCACAAACACACACGCACGCACAGCGTAGCTTGCCTTCCTTTTCAGGATCTGATTGAATTCTTTTATCCTTCCATAAAATAAAACAACCTAGTGTGTGTATGTGTGTGGGGGGGTTCATTAGTTTGGCATTTGAAAACAAGAAGATATCAATTAGGTAGCATGCAAGAGGTGAAAAGCAGATCTCCGCACTAAATTGTTAAAGAGGTTTAAAATCAAAGATACCGCGAGAACAAAATTGCAAACGTTGCAGGGGATGTAGCAAATTTGCTCGGGAGCAACATCGATACTGCAGCTCGACATGTCTGATCTCAAGCTTCTTTACTCAAACAAGGAGGGTGAAAGAAGGAAAGAAAATTAAGGAAGTGGATAGATGAAGCAAACTAATTGCAATATCTTGGACAACAAAGTTGAAGGCAAAGGCCTTTAATTATTCTCTCTCTCAAAACCCTTCTTATTGCTTAGATACGAGGTGTGTATGTGTGTATATATATATAAGTATACGAGGACAGTAAAAGTTGAGGGAAGAGGGGTTGTATAAATAGAAATATACAGTAAAGAGAGGGAGATGAAGGGCTTGTTTGGAATCCGAAGAAGCAGTAAGAGAAAGGGAGGAGGAGAGAGTAGGGTAAGTAAGGTAATGCGATGAAAAAAAAAAGTGGTTTTAGTAGTGCCCACGGCAGTCAGGGAATGCTGGGACCGGGAAATTAAGGAAAAGAAAGTGGTTTCGAGTTCATATTGCAAAACCTTATTCAAGTGGGCAATAATTCTTGTAAAAAATGATTTCCTTGCACCTCTTCAATTGTAGTTGATTGTATTTTCTCTTAAGCAAAATATTATTAAGAGATGGAGGATGAATATATTTGGATAAAATTTTCTAAAAGTATTTTTAGGAAAAAATATTAAAAGAAAAAAAATTAAAAAAAAATTTATGTAACTTATGCACAAGTTTAAAAAAATGAAAAATTAATAAGAGAAAGTTTCTACAAATTAATTTATATACAAGTTAATTTTAATTTATGGAAAATGATTATTTAATTTTTTGTTCTATTTTTCTCTTCTAAAAATATTTTTAGAAAAATTTATCAAAACAAATCTCATAAGAGAATATTATAACATATAAATAAGTCTTAAAGGTATAATATATCGGATATTATTAGATAATCTTTATCAGCATGATCTTAATGAGTCTTTAAATTAATGTATTTAATTGTTATTAGTATTTTTTTTCATAAATTAATAAGAAAAATTGAAATTGTTATTAGTATTTTTTTCATAAATTAATAAGAAAATTTGAACGTGTTATATAATTATTAGTTTGGATAATAAACATTTAGTAGTTTAGGATCGTCTAATATTTTCACCTAATTAGATATATAAAAAGACACAAACTACAAGATTAATACACTAATTGGAAATAGAGAATCGAACACTATCTATTTTAACCTATCTATGATCTAACTTTTATCAAGTATAAAGTAGTATTGGAATCAAAAGGAAAACCCTAAAATATAATATTGTTATTTATATATAACCTAAGTAAAGCATATACTACAACGTGCTAAAAAATATGATAAATTGAACACAAGTTTTTTCTTCTCAAAATATAATTAAATGAGACATAACGAACAAAATATCATTAGGTAAAACAACTGAATATCTCAACTATGCATAGATTTCATCGGTTATATTTACATAAATTCTAAAAATGATATAGAAATGTAAAAAGGGAGTTTTTGCATCAATTTTACGTCTCACCATCTACACCGATTCAACAACCAATGTAAAATAACTAAGATAATACAAAAATAGGTGATGTTTATTTTCCTTAGCGTGATAAATCATACACAAGTTTTCCTTCTCAAAATATAATTAAACGATATATAAAGAACAAAAATATCATTAGGCAAAATCACTCTGAATATCCCAACTATGCATAGATTTCATCCGTTGAATTTACATAAATTCTAAAAATGATATAAAAGTGTAGAAGTGAGTGTTTGCATCAGTTCTATGTCTCACTTTCTACCCTGGCTCAACAACCAATGTAAAATAACTATTATTATTAAAAAATTAAAATAACTAAGATAACCAATTCTTTTTTTTAGAGAATAAGATAACCAATGTTAAAAATGGTATGTTACAGTAGTAAAATGTACCTTGTCATCGGGTGATACAAAAATAAGTGATGATTATCTTTCTTGTAGTGAAAAACCGAACACAAGTTTTCCTTCTCAAAATATAATTAAACGAGACAAAGAACAAAAATATCTTTAGGCAAAACAACTGAATATCCCAACTATGCATAGATTTCATCCGTTGAATTTACATAAATTCTAAAAATGATATAGAAATAAAAAGTGAGTTTTTGCATCAGTTCTCTGTCTCAGTTTTACAACGGTTACTATGATAAGCTATGTAAAAAATGATATACTATAATAGTGAAATCTAGCTTGTCATTAGACAATGCAAAAATAGGTGATGTCTATCTTCCTTAGAGTGATAAATCAAACACAAGTTTTCCTTCTCAAAATATAATTAAACAAGACATAAAGAACAAAAATTATCATTAGGCAAAACCACTTTTGAATATTCCAACTATGCATAGATTTCATCGATTGAATTTAAATAAATTCTAAAAATGAAATAGAAATGTAAAAAGTGAGTTTTTGCATCAGTTTTATATCTCACTTTGTGCACGATTCAAACCAATGTAAAATAACTATGATAACCAATGTAAAAATGGTATGTTATAATAGTGAAATCTGAGCAGGCAATACAAAAATAAGTGATGATCATGTTTCTTAGAGTGATAAACCGAATGCAGAGTTTTAATTCCTTCTCAAAATATAATTAAACGAGGCATAAAGGGAAAAAAAATCATTAGACAAAACTACTGTAATTAACGCACTTCTATTCGAGTTTAATTACTTAGATTAACGAGTCCTTTATATTCATGTGGGCCTGGATTTAAATTTTATTACAACTATATAAATGAGTTAAATAACATGCTCATGAAAGAAAAAAAAAACAAATAAACAGAAAAGTTGTAAAGTGAGCATGAAAAAACGGCAAGAAAAACTACTGTTAAGTTTAATTGCATCTCTCTTTTTTTTTTTGCAAAAATATAATTAAGATTAATACTTCAATGATGTAAAAGTTCTTGAAACAAAAAATATATATATTATATAAATAAAGAGGATACCCCCTTTAATTTTCATAATTTTTAGATTTTTATATTTTGTAGTATATATTATTTTTTCTCACCATAATATCTCTTAAGGGTAAAATAGAAGAAAATAATATGTATAAAAAATAATTATTTACTTTATTGGTAATAACTACCCTCTTATTTTAGAACTACCTTTGGTCTCTAATTTTATTTGAGATTATTTTACTCTCTTCTAGTTATATATATTATTTTACTTGATTTATATTTTGTATCTTCTATTATTTATTTTTACTTTATATTATTTTTAAATGAAATACATAGAGGTAAAAAGTGCCTCAATCTTATTAGTAAACATTAATAAGGATAATTATTGATTTATCAATAACTATTAATAAAGAGAATACATTTTTTAATAATCATTTTCATCTTCATTTCTTTTTCAGACCTTTTTCCCACTCAAATATTTATAACTATTAATAAGGGAAATATTTTTTTTATAACCGTTTTCGTCTCCATTATTTTGACCTTTTTATCCACTCAATTATACAATAACCTCTTTCTAACAATATATGTATGAGGAGAGTTCAAATAATATCGGTGTAACTTTTATTAATTATTACATCACTCAATAACTTTCAATTAAATGTGAATTTTTAAAAATATATCATTAGATTGAAAGTTCATTACTTATAGATTATATATACAAAATTTTATATTAATCCAAGATGCATGATTTGATACCTCATTCTTATAAAATAAAATTGACATAATATATATATTTCAAAATATATTAAAATATGAACATTTTTATTGACTTCAAATTATTGTTTAATTTTAACAAAATTTGATATAAACATACAAGGTGATATGAAGTTAAATTCAATAGTTGGATCGACAAATTCACATTTAATATAAAATTATTAAGCGGTGTAATAGTTGATGATAAAAGTTACACTAATGTCATTTGAACTCTCTCTCTATATATGTGTGTGTGTGTGTAAGGAGTGATTCACTTGTTTTAAGAGTAAGTCTACTTAAACTTACTCATCTGAATAACTTATGTTTCACATAACGATTTAACTATTAAATTAAAATTTTTAATACATAAATCAATTCTACAAAAGCTTGAAAATTATTTAATACCCTTTTTCATTAATTCAAATCAATATATAAAATATTTTTATGATTACCCCTCCAGAACCCTAACTGATCTGTTTACTCTAGGAGTAATTATATTTATACATACTCTATTCAATAACTCATTTTCTACATCAAAATTCAACGATCCAATTGTTCAATTTAAAGTTCTTAATACATAAATCAAGTCTGCAAATTTTTAAAAAACTTGAAAATAATTTGATATTTTGTTTCATTAATTCAAATTGACGGATAATCATAAAAATATTGTATACATTGATTTGAATTAATGAAACGAAGTGTCAAATAGTTTTAAAATTTTTTAAAAATTTACAACCTTGATTTATGTATTAAGAACATTAAATTAAACGATTGGATCGTTGAAACTTGATGTATAATATGAGTTATTGAGTGGAGTAAGTCTAGGTAAACTTACTCATATAGTAAATGAATCTTTCTTATATATAGATCAAGTATGTAAATTTTTTAAAAATTTAAAAATTATTTGATACTTCATTTTATTAATTCAAATCAACGTATAATTTTTTTTGTGATTATTCGTCAATTTGAATTAATGAAACAAAGTATTAAATGACTTTAAATTTTTTTTAAAAAAATTACAAACTTAATTTATACATTAAGAACTTCTAATTCAATAATTGAATTATTGAAATTTGATATAAAATACGGATTATTATATATAATAACTCTTGATAAAATAACTTCACTTAATAAATCATGGTGTAGTTAAAGTTTTATAAATTTTTTTAAAAAAAATAATAATTTATTATATAGATTCAAATCAATATATATATATATATATAAATGTAACTTCTTGTATGGGTAATAAGAATGTAATATTTTAATTAATTATTACATAAAAATACAAAATGTCTTCACACTTCTAATATATGTAAAAGATAACTAGCATCGTGTAGTCGAGTGAGTTACAAATAAATAGTTATATGTAGAAATAAATTTTATGTCAGATTTTGAGGTGGGGGAGAAGAAGTCGAATACGTAGTTATAATTTAAATTTAAATCGAATGCATATGAAATGCATTGAATTGAAGTATCGAAACACAGCAAAGGTTTTGGCCGCATTACCAAATGTGTACAATATATAATAAGATATTAGAATCATTTTTATGGAATGAGAGTGACCACTCCCATCCTCAGACAAACCTGCAACTCCACAGCGGACGAGGGGGGCGAAATTTTATTAAATAGTTTAGCGGTGTGATGACTA